ATTTCCCGTACCGTTTTCAGAAAAACGAATTTCGGAAATTAAGAAATATTCCGGATTTCCAAATAACGGGCAATTGCAAAAGGAAATCGAAATTTTCGAAAAAAAGATATTCCGGAGTTCCAACAATGAAATTTCAAATTTTCAGAAGAAAAACGAAAAGTTGAAAACGGAAATTTCAGGTGTTGCGCTATTGATATTTTCCACAACAGAAATAGCGGGAAAACAAAATCCAAGAAAAGAAAAATTTTGGGGGCTAATTAGTGTGCTCTAATCAATCAATCAATCAATCAAGACTAATCAACTAATTAGTCCCCGCACACATGTCAGATCAGGTTGTCCTGATTCACGTGCGGTGTTCCGATACCAACTGTTACATGCCCAGTTGGGCAATGTACATATATAACCAAGGATCCACAATGTGATGAAAAGGACTGAATGGACAATGCGGTGCGAGTGGAATCTCAACAAGCAGTGTACATCCTGATACATACAAAAATGGTGCTTTGTAGCGCAGTGGAAGACTTAGATATAAGTCCTGACCTGACCGGGACTGACCTCTCTCACGTAGTACAAGCCAGCGTAGCGAAATGCTAGAATACCAATGACTAGCCCAATCAATGTCGCAATGCGGACCAAACGTCCATGATCCTCATCACAAGGTGTGAAGGGGGCCCTGGCGCTACACACAGGAAGACTGCGCCAGGCCCAGACCATACATAGACGAAGAGGAGGAGGTCAGACGAAGAGGAGGGGGAAGATGGGAATGTCGTTAATACCAAGTCTTCGGTACAAGTCCCATATAATCCCTCGTCAAATGTCTGAAGCCCAATGTCGAGTCTGGACCAAATGTCACCGATCCCGCTCTCTCGTAGTCTGCTGATGCATGCATGACATTCAATTCAAAATGAAAGCTATGCACAGTCAGGTAGCGAGAGGGTGAGAGGGAGATGGTGGACTGAGAAGAGGAAGAAGAAGAACTCTCTCTCTCTCTCTCTCTCTCTCTCTCTCTCTCTCTCTCTCTCT